TCAAAACGGTTTAGACATTCTCTCTTTTCGTAAACATTTCTTATTTAAAAAAAGTATATCTTCGGAGATCCCGTCTTTTCAATTTCAACATATGCATAACAATGCATTCAAAACAAGATACAATATGTAAAATAATTGTAAAATTATAATGTAACCATGGATATAATATTCATTTTTAAGCAACCACGTACATAGAAAATGAAAAATGGTTTTGCAAAATTAACATTTTTGTACAATTCAGAGGGGAGGGAGGGGTACCGAAAAAGGGTACTGTTTTTATACTTGTGAAAATGTTGATAATTGTGAACGACCCCTTAAAGGAGAAAGCGTACCTGTCGTTAGGTATAGTAGGCCTCGCCTAGGTGTAAACATAAATCCGGCTATATAAAATCGATTATAAGGTTGGAAAGTGTTAATCGTATTAAGGCCCGGGCTAATCCAGACCTAATAATAATATTAAAATAAATTAAATACATGTTATTGTTTAAAATGTTTAACAGTAAGTTACAAGAAGAAGGAAGAACGCAAAGATATCTAAGGCGGCTATAATTGTACCAAAAAATATAATTATAATAATGATAAATGAAAGATTATTACATTTTACATGTTTGTAAATTATTTCGGACGCTAATCATCAGATTAGCGTCAAGCCTCGGGGTATCGAGCCTACACGTTTTATAATTCGACATCGAATCAAGACCTATGATTATTATGCATACCTGACTATTTTTTGCAAGTAATCCATGTTGCCAGTGATGTTTGTAGCGCCCTCTAAAACACGTATGATTGCAAACCGACACCAGCCTCTCGCTAAATCCATCCGGGACACCGAAAGGAAATTCGTATTGTAGGATCACTTGTAAATCTCCTTCAAATGGTGCCTCAGTCCAGTTAAGCCTCTGCGATGACGAAAAAAAAAAGTTGAAATGAAATGAACAGCCAAAAGTCGGTACCGGTACTTCACGTTAGTTACGTTTTTCAGAAACGTGAATACTTTGTAGTAGCGTAGCCGATGGCATAATTCTCGTTAAATATATCAACGTCAGATTAGCTTTCAAATTCAGCTTGATTTAATAAATGTTGATGTTTGTGTGAAATGGTATGAATTTATAACTAATAAATTTATATCTGACATTAATTAGTGCGAACGATCAAAGCATAGTCACAAAACTAATTATGAGAAACGGCTTGCGTATATATAATAACACAATGTAATTTATATACAATCTCTCATTATATATATTATCGGTTAAAATTATTATATAACCATATAAATAATTATCCAACTTTAGTGCGAAAAATAAAAGATTTATAGCCTGTTTGTTTTCCTTTAAATGAAACTTATGTAAATAATTTTTTTCCGCTGACAAGTAGCACCTCCTTACTTGAGGTAGCGCCGCCAACTTAGCAGTGCACGGTAGGGGAGCCGATAGGCTTCTCCTTGGTGGAAGATACCAGAGCCCAGAAAACTGACGCCGAGGTACCTGCGTGTACACGGTAGTGATGGCGACGATATCGCAAAATCGGGGGTGCGCACCCCCCCCCACCTTTCGCGTTCTTATGTCTTTGTTTCTTGTGGCTTCAAAAGCGCCTTGAGACGGTTTTCTGTGGAAGGCGCTATATAAATATATGACCATTGACCATCAACCTAAATAATGCTATATCTAAATATGGAAGTGTAAAATGTATTTAATAAAGTATTCTTTATTAATTTATCACTTTAGACAGTAAATAAAATATATTCATATATTTTAGGCCAATTTAATCATTCAAAGTAGCATAACCTCTATTATATCGTAATCCTGAAGTGTATGCATATTTAAACTTAGAATTTGTTTAGTCCAGTCAAACTCATAGATTGTGAAAAAAAATATATATTCTGTTATTATTTGAGGTTCCACAAAATAATCAGTGTCGACTGGTGTGACTATCGTCACAAGACAATTTTGAATAGAGTATATTAACGAAGTCATAAAACAATTCAAAAACCAAGACCTTACTGGTTCGATATCTGGTAACTGGTCCATCCAAGTAATGTAGTACTGTTGCTGGGTAGAAAGGGCGGGAAATAGAGGCAATTGCAGGCAATGAAACTCGTCATTCATATCAAGGGCTTCTTTCCTAATAATAATTCCAAGTGTGACTAAATATCTTACAAGCACCAAGATCTGATCTTCGGTCAGGTTGAGTTTCTGAAATACATAAGTCAACAAAATATACGAAATTATTAATTTTAGTTGTGAATGTTAGGTTAGAATAAATTGTTGCACGTTTAATTCAGCGGACTTCCAATCATAATGCTGGTGTAATACCAGAACACAAAATAAATTCACAAAATCCACATCGCAATGTATTATTGCACACAAACAAAGAAATTTCTTCTATATCAATGATATTTATTACTCATATTATATTTAGTTGTTTAATTTTTATTAATTTATTCAGCTTCAATGATCTGAAAAACTATTCTAAGTAGCAATCACTTCAACACAAAGACAGATTAGGCCTATTTTTTTTTTGACAAAAAATGTTGTATGCCCATATATAGGCACGATGTGCATATATGGTCATGATGGTGAGGCAGCTTATCTCTGTCGGTTAAACTGGTGGTAGCCACTGTGTGTACGCTGAACCAAGGAGATCCCTAGGTCCCCGGTTCGATTTCCATCGCTGCTCTCCTTGTTTTTCAGCTGGTCTGCTGAAATACAAGTTATAATAGCGCACCGTCTTTCGGATGAGACGGTTAAAGTCGTTGATCCCTTATGAAAAATGGCCCCTGTGCCCGTTAAGCCTGCAGTTTTCCACTAGAAGAATTTATTCTCGTGAATCAAAATCTTCTGTACCTTTCTGAACTCTGATTGGTTGCGCGTAGAAATGTGAATGCGCATGTGTATGAACCGACGCTTTGGATTCGCACCAATAAATACGCCTAGTGGAAAAAAAGCTTTAAAGAAGTTCACTCTTAGGAAAAGAGTAGGGGATTGTCTCCCGGTGTACTGCCCACACCAGAAAGACCCAACTGGAAACAAGTCTTTGGACCTAGAGGGTTATCCGTGGTGTAATTCACACCGAAATACTCCTATTCCTACGACTATATATTGGCGTGATGTGATGTCATCACGACCACATAGTCTGGACAGGCATTAAGGCCAGCATGTGAACCACCAAACTATTCAACTCTAATAACAATATTTTACCTGTAGCATCAAAGGAAACAGACTTTCTCGTATGATTCCCTTTGTAGGAATCTCTTCAATTGCCCTCACCAGAATAAGAGCGTCCGGTTTTTTGTTAACAACACCTTTGGGCCAGAACCGTTTTGTTTCAAATTTGAATGCCTTTCTGCAGTCCTCCAAATGAATTGAGTACAGAATATCTTGGATGGCGGCTGGATGTATACAAATAATAGATGGTAGAGCAGTCAAGTCGCTATTATTCGATTGAAGGGAAGATGAGTCAGTGGCACTCGACAGCAAGAGAGACGGGTCACTGGTGCTCGGAAGACATTCTACAGCATAAGACACTACGCCCTAAAGTATAAATATATTTTATATTAAATTTATTTTTTCTTAACTGTTGATCCTTGTTTTTGAATGCAATTGGTTGTTCTTAAAGTTTTAATGATTTTAACTATGGATTATTATTTTTTTCTTGCAATTTTAATGATTTTTTTAAAGGCCTCTCTGGGGCGGATGCAGGATTTGGCAGTAAGGGGTGCGTGCAAGGGCACGGATCCGTTTTGAAAGGTGGGGATATTCCGTGGAAATAGTACCTGTAGATGGTCGAAAATTACAATTTTATGTAGTAAAATTCATCATCATCATCATATCACGATTATATAGTCAAAATGAAGCGCCTACAATTTCTCATGATCTTTTTGGCAACCATAGAGATCTAAATATGTTTGATGTATGGCACTATAGAAAATAAAAATTCTAAAAATTGTCTTCGATGTATTTACTTTACCTACGTCTAAACTGTGAGTCCACCATAGTTGGAACTGAGGTGGTAAAATTTTGGGAAATAGTGCCTCTAGGTTGCCGGATGTGAGATTCGTATATATAGTAAAATTCTTCATCATCGATCTAATTAATCGCTGTGATGTACCATAGAACATACAACTTACGGTAATTGTCTTTTATGTATTTACTTAACTTTACCTATTTCATATGCCGAAAATCAATCTTTCCTTTGCACGACTTTTCTCATACTCTCAAATTATAATAAAGGCACACGCACTCGAGTCGTGTGATACAGGTAATTTGATGTTTGTGGCGGAGATACCGGTATGTTGTTATAAAATAAGATGTACTCTGGCTGTACAGCTCTCTTGTGTTAAAACCTAGGTCATTAAATTAAACTACATAAATTTTATGTAGTTTATTTCAACAATTTTCAGGCATCTGCTTGATTTATGAAAATGCATTGCGGACGAACAGTGAGGGGAAAACCCCCTTGAAAATATGTAAGGAAGGGACTGTCCCCTGCCTCCACGATCTGCGCCTATGGGTGATTGAGAGTCCAAACCACCTCAGCCCCAACATTGTTGAGGTTGAGTTGTCAAAGTTTGAGAATATGGACCTATGAGTGCCTGGAATTTGCACTCTCATATTTTAAAAAGCTTACCAATAAATGCATGTCAACAATATAATACAATTATTTTCATAATACATTTTAGAGGGGGGGGGAGCTGCGATCGCACCGTCTACACCCCCTGCATTCGCCCCAGCCCCTTCCAGTCAGGATTGATGTTAGAGCCACCCTCTCTAAATATTTTCCAATACTAAATAGATATACTGTATACATATTATATATATCATGTGCTCTATCAGCCAAAATTACTTAAAAACAAAAATGGCAAATCAGGGTATGGATTACATTTGAGTTAGAAAATTGATTCAAGGAGGCAGTTTTCAATTCCATGTAAATAATTATAACTAGGTCACCGAAGTAATCGTTATGTAAATATCACCGTTCATATACATACCCTTTCGCATAGGAAATTTAAAACTTTCTGTATCTCACTAGCGTTTTGTATGTCACATGATTCTGCAAGGTTTTTAAATTTCTCTAAAGTTATTAATACATCTCCTTGTTTCTTTAAAGTATGGATTTCGTTGTAGAATTTACTCGTTGATTCGTCGACACTTTTATTCATATGTGGGTATATGTCACTATTTAACGCCGCTGTGATTAGCACTCTTCGAAGCTCGTCGAGTCCCTATAATGAAAACAATATAAGATGCAGTTATTATTAAAATGACAATTCAATAATACTTAATGATACATTTGTCACTTGAAATTTACTAACTGTACAAACAAATAAAAAAAAACTTGAATTAAATTAGGAGACCTCTCATTTACAGGAAGCATTACATAACTGTGGTTATGGAGAATGAGTTGTCTTTGGTACGTGATCTAAGAAAACAGAAGTGGACCTAGGGACAAACAAAATAATACAAGTATGAACATTTTCACCACGCTTTCATACGTCGGGAGTTTTTCAGAAAAGCTTAGAAGAGCCTTTGCTTCTGCCGGGATTAGCACGTCTTTTATACATTCGAACACACTTAGAAGGGCCCTGGTAGCACCTAAGGACAGAACTGTATTGGAAAAACAGTCAGGTGTGGTATACAGCATCCTGTGTAAAGAACTGTGACGCTCTCTATATTGGCGAGTCTGGTCGTAAACTTGAAAAAAATAGGCTTTCAGAAAGTCTGAAGCTGCCAGTTCTGAATCTGCCATAAGAAACCATGTAGAACGTAGTAAAGGGCACTTCGACACGAAAAACGTGAAGGTGCTAGACACGGAGCCAAGAGTCTTTTCAAGAAGAACATCATTCTATCCACCAACGAAAGCAGGGGTAGGTGTCGCGGGGGGGGGGGGGTTGGCAATCTCATCATTGACGTCATCAACACGATGACATGAGACTCAACTACACTAGAAGAACACAGTAATTAAAACCGCCGAAGACGCCGCATGGTCCGGTCTATATTAAATTTAAATGACAAATTCATATTGTTGTTACTTGCGCACTTGGTTTAATAAAGTTTAATAAAATAGATGATGTAAATTTTGACGCAGATCTATTCTTCGTATTTAAAATCTTGTTTCATTGAACGAATGTTAAGGTAATGTCGGGAAGAGTGGGGGGGGGAGGCGGAAATTGTCTAAGGGGTAGAAAAAATGTCACAGGGGAAAAACACAGGGGGAAAATGTTTGGGGAATATTTATTGGGGTATTTGTTAGGGGGGATGTCCCGGGGACACCCAGCCTACATCCACATGTGATATATCGAAAGTTGGGGAGGGGGAATTGTCTAAGGGGTAGAAAAACCAGGGGAGTTAATGTCACACAGGGGGAAAATGTCTGGGGATATATAGGGCTGTCTCTTATACACATCATTAGGGGGGGGGGGTGAATGTCCCGGGGACAACCAGCCCAGTGATATATATTCATATTTGGGTATAACACGACATCACTATGCCCATATGTACATAACAATTTGTCACATTAAAAAAAAAGAACTTTAAACTAACTTAAAACAAAAATAAAGAAACTAAAGATTGAATTACTGAGCTAATGAATTATTGAATGATTCAGCCAATTAGAGGAAAGATGGCTCCTGAAAAAAAAAACTGCTACTCTAAAATCATTTTCCGTATTTTCTATCCTCCCTAATAGAACTATTAATATCTATTTGTATGATTTATCTCGTGGATTTGCTAGTTTGAATTAGCAATAAATAATCGAACTAAACCACACATGAAGCAGCTCGTGACGGTAACTAAAAACACGACTCGTTTCTATGTGGCGCACTTGGTAAAACGATTAGTTGTTGTTGGCCTACCTTTCCTGTAATTATACTTGTGCAGACAATGCTCGTTTTGAAGTTGCTTCGAGACTGCAGTAAACTAGACAATTTCTGGTGACACGTTGCTAACTTTACTGACTTCTTGTTTTCAAGCTGCCTGTGAAAACACAAAATTCGTCGAGAAGGAAATTATGTTTTGTTATGCAAATTTGATCAAATAAAACATCTCGTCTTCTAATGTCGTAATGGTCAGAGAGAACAAAAATACCTATTAACATAAACAAAAAAAAAGTCATCGCCTTTAATTTCACTTCTGTTTGGTTACTAAGACGTTATGCAAGTTATGACGTTTCAGAAATATGAGTCACATTTGTATATATTTGGTGAAGCAATCAAGTGAATCTTGAGTTTCATTGTTGATATAACTAGTTAAGATTAAAGTTTCAATAAAGCGGGCGTAATTTACAAATACAGATTAGAAATAGCTCAAAATTTGAGCCTTCAATAAGTGCCTGATGAGTATGTCTAGTGGTGGCACCAACCGGAGGTGAGGAAACATCCCCCCACCCCGCTCCCATTGGGCGGGACTATACCAAAGAACTTCAAAAGCAGAAGAATGAGCTGTTCCACGTATTTACATTGAAATTGATGGAACATCCGCCCTCCCGCGAATGGGGTAAAATTTGACCATTTTACTAAGTGGAGAACTACAGGAAACAAATGAACCAGAGCGGCGCCTTTATTGCTGTTTATTATTTCTATATAGCGCCGCCGCGCGGATGGGGTAAAATTGCTCTCCATGTACCCACAATACCTTTGGAACGGATGTTCCTCTATATTGGGAAGCTGCTCTATCTTCTGCTATTTATTATCTTTGACTAGACCTCCGTAGTCCGACGCCACGCCAAGTTTGTTAGACAAAACATAATAATTGGCCTATATTAACGATTACCAATCCCTAACATTGTGGTCTAAATGCACAATTTGGGCCATAAGCCATAAACAAACTCTCCCCGTGATACCAGGGATTTTTTCTTTATTCTGAGACCCTGACCAAGGCTGTAGTATTCTTGGTTAGGGCCCTCTGTCGGCAAATTTTGTTAGTCACCAATGAGTATGGTATTTCTAATCTGTAATAATAAATGGTTGAAAATGCAGTTGTAAACTTAATCATTAGATTGTAATTCATAGTTGATGGCCTACGGTATGTTTTGTACAGTGGTGAAAATGTCTACCTATGTCAGTTGTCAGTACCCTGCCGGATATAGAAGCAGGTTTAAAGTGGATCCATTTTATTAAAAATGTAATTAAAAAAGTACATTTTCAGTTTATATTCATCATGTGCAGGGTCCACTTTTTCACTATTTCTTTTTTTCTTTTGTAGCAAAGCCACCACAAATAACAAATTTTGTTTTCATCATTACAAATTAAATTTTCTTTTTCACAATTAATAAATACAATATTTTGTTTATAACCTCCGGTTTTACATTTTTTTTTTTCAAAATTAAAAAAAAAATGTATTTGTTTTATTTGTCCAACTTAAATATTTATGCGTAAAATAGGTATATGGCTAAATTTAAATGATGGGTCTACCTTAATTTACGTGGTAATGGATTCATTATTAGAGACCACAATAGTTCCATTTACTCGTAAAATGGGTCTTTATTTTTAAAATGACCATATTATTCTATTTATACTATTTAAATTCTGGGCATAGTCTACATACAAATTTTCCGCATGTGGACTCCTTTACTTTATAAGAGTGGACACATTTCATGTAATATAAACTAAAATTTAAATCCAGGGAAGCTGGTAAATCTAAATAATTTGGGGTAAAAAATGATTATTTTCTATTAAAAATGATTGGAAATTAAGCGGGACAGTCATAGCTGTCTCTGTTACATGGAGAAGGCATGTACTAGCTTAGGTTGGTTTTACGAAGTGAGTGTTTGCCTCTCAAATTTACTTGGGCAAGGTGACCGCCTAAGCGTTTAACCATAACTAGAGAAACTATTGATTTGTGCAATGCGTAAACATTTTTTAACTCTTTTTTACAAAATATATAAAGATTAGAATAAATCAAATTATCACTAGTAAAGGAATGTTATTTTGTGAAAATGTAGATATGAGAGCCGCACTATATCAAAAGAAAATGCAAATAGAATTAATAGCGAATCATTAAAAATAGATTAGTTAGATATGACTGATCACATAGAACTTTTAATACGCTCAAGGAAACGCATATATAAAGAAGATTCTAGCGATAAGTTTCTACTCATCTCATTGTTTGTAAGACGTGACCTCATATTGAGGACAAGTTTTATTAGTATTTGTTTTCTTTAATGTGCAAGAAATCTCGTGTTTGTGCTTACTGTTTATTTAAACGTCGACTTACAGCTAAGTACTGAACTACAAAAGGAATTATCTTGCTTTTAGTATTGTGCCTTAAATACATCATTAATCAACACAGGTGTCTCATCCAAACAAAACGACATAACATTTCATCAATAATACTAATCATGATAGTATTTATGGTGATGATGATGATAAAGATGATGATTATAACATATCAATCTGTTTGGTCCACTTAACTGCAAACGCGCGACCGTGAAAACCACCATATATCTTTACCATTAGCGCTTCTTCAAAACTATAGCCTGTTTATACTACAAAAACCGTAACCCAAAAACTAGAGGTCGGATAAATTGGTGATAAATTAGCTTGAAACGGTTTATAGAAGTTTATAAATAATTATAGCTATTGCAAACAATTTCTTTTTTTTTCCCCAAATATTTCGCGCCGTTAATTTTGGGTTGAATCACAAAAATAGGCGATATTAGTGCGTTTCAGTGGGATTTGAGCTGGCTTATGAGAAGTCTTTTCTTTAAAACGTCATAACTTTGCCTACACTAATCCGATTGCTTAGGTTGAAGCGGCAACAGAAATAAAATTTTCTTGTGATTATATATACAAATTTATCCGATTGTATGCAATTTTCTTCAGTTATTTTTCCATTCTTTAAAAGGTTTTCAAAAAGAAAATCTGCGCAGGCTCACAACCGCGGCCAAGGAAATTGGAGCGTTCCATTTTCTAAACTGAAGAAAATATGGTCAGCCCCAGTGGTGGTCGACGAGAGTTGCTGGTACCGGGTTACCGGGTAGCACAGGCACAAAGGGAAACTTAGGGGCGAAGAAAGTCTTTGATCGAGTTCCTAGTCCACATATCAAACGCCCTGAGCATCTTTTGTTTGATGGATATCGCGCTATATAAAACTACATTATTATTATTATTATTATTATTATTATTATTATTATTATTATTATTATTATTATTATTATTATTATTATTATTATTGTACATGGTGTATCAAAAACTAAAATGCATTAAATGAATATGCCTGATAGTGGACATATCGATCGTATTTCTACTGTGTTATGCATCGATTTGGAATGTATTTTTAACAGTTTTCACTAATGATTAATAGTTTTAAAAATTGCATTTTTATACACCCTTTTAGGATAATGAAATCTTAAAAAAAAAAACTGCGCAGTGCAGCAGTGCGCTCAATCTATTCACGTCTGCCTTTCTTACAGGCTAGGCGCGCAGTATTAAAAATGTTTTGTTACATGGTCAAAACAGCCCAACCGAGTTGATATGTGATCATGATGATGAACATGAGGCTGATAGTGATTATGATGGTGCTGCTGCTGATTTATAATGATGGTGATGAATATGATGATGGTGATAATGATGATGGTGATATAAGTGATGATGATGATGATGATGTTGATGATAATTATGATGATGATGTAGATGATGATCATCTTTATTCCATTATGTACGTCTTTGTATGTTGTCTATTATTGCTTCTTTTTTTTTGAAGAAAATATAAAGGAATAGCTGGAGGAATGTATAGAATTTGTGTGGTTGTTTAAAAAAAATTGACATTAAACGACACTTTCTATTTATTTATAATAGATGCTACCACTGAAAGGTGACGGTCCGCTAAAATAATTTTACCAAGACACAACGATATAAAAAATAATAATGAAGTAAACTGTATTGATTCGAAGTAATATTAATAAATTCATACCCGAAGTGCTGAAGTTCTTCATTTAGTTTCTGTTCGTGTTTCGCTTTACGGTTTTTCAAAATATCTTCCACAGAATTTAACCACTCTTTCCTCTTATCAGCATTCAACATCATATCTGCATGAGTACCTACGATGACTACAGACATGTCCGGAGCCTGTAATGACAAAGACAATAGACTAATAATACTAATAATAATACTAACTAATAAGCAATTAGTAGAGCTCCGCATAGTTCACTATATAGGGAAATTATTATACGAAGGTTAGATTTAATGCTTGAAAAAAATTTCCTGAGGGCCTGCAAGGCCCGAAGGACATATTTGAATGCATTAAATATAACTTAAATATAATAGTTTTCCATGTAGTGTACGATGCATGCTCTACTAATTGCTTTATATTAGTCAATCGCTGTCTTTTAATGTTAGTTTTCATAACCAACTGTGTTGTACCAGTCATTGGTTGCTATAGTGATATGATCAGTATACTGTGTGCGTAGGCCCCCTATTTATATTTTGTAGGTATGCTGATCTGTGCTACTGCAAGTAGGCCTACGCGTTAACTACACATCAGCAGTCTGTACGGATACGTTGGAAGAATAACTAACCGAAGAACTTGTTTTATAATTGTTCACATTCGTCAAAGAAATAAACATTTTTCGGTGCAGACAGGTAAACATCTTGGGATGAATTCGTAACTACGGTAAGCTATACGACCTAGAATTGTAGTAGTAGGAGGAGGCCTCGGCGGCCTGCTGCCTGGCTATAGGCCTACATCTAATTTCGTTCCTATTAAACGTTTAGTTTGTTTAGTTTATCAGGGTTCATTGATTCAAGGAATTGCTTAGTTGTTCATACTTAATATTGGATTTAAAGTAACTTTCTTTAGGTTCTAATTAACCTTGTTTTACGAAAGTAATTTTCAATTACATTTCAATTTTTATCGCGGTGCGCGATATCTTCGCGGTGACGAAAAAAATATGATTTTTTTGCACACGAACCTAACAAAATCAAGCCAAGCGTCGACTAATAGAAAAATAGGCAAAATAGGCAAATAACATTGGAACTTACAGTGATGACGTCACGATTGACTTATATTATTATTATTATTATTATGACAACGATGATGATGATAAAATTATTATAATAAAAATAATAATAATTATTATTCTTATCAATATTATTATTATTATTATTATTATTATTATTATTTTTATTAACGTATTATTGTTATCATTAATATGAACAACATCAATAATATTGATAATTATTATTAATATTATTATTATTATTATTGTAATTATTATTATTATTATTATTATTATTATTATAAATATTTGTAACACTAAGTATGATCATCATTATATAGATAAAGAATTAAGCTGTAAGCGAAAAAAGATCAATAACTATTTGAAATTACATAATGTGGGAACTTGGAATGAATATGAAGTGCCTGAAAGTCTTAATTGAGGCTATATTAATATATAACCACAGTAGGTATGTCGTAATCAACTTAAAATTCGCCAACATTTGACTACATAAATGATTTGCCCTTGATTAGCATTAACAGATTGAGATGTACACATGCATTTCAATGTAAATCATGTTAAACTTATTATTGAAACTAATCAACTACTTAAACTCACTGCAATTCGATGAAATATTATATAAAATATTATAATTGGTAGGATTTCATGAGGTATTTTCTAAATATTGGCCTATCATACAGTTTAAAATAAATATATCATGTGGCGTATGTTTTAATGTACTTTATATCAATCCTTTTTTAATTTTTGAAGAATGTACAGTATTATAATAATAGGCCTAATGATAATAGTAATAATAATAATAATAATAATAATAATAATAATTATTATTATTATTATATGTTTTGATTTTATTGTAAACAATTTACTGCTCAGAGGTAGGTTAAATATTCTTAGTGTGACAATCTGTGCATGTGTGAGGACAAATTTGTTCACTTTTTAATTTTGTTTCATTGTTTATATTATTGTATTTTTGTGGTTAAGCACATCCTTTGGCGACAGTTTTGTTTTAATTAACTTTAGCATTTCCTTGTCAACCATGTTCAACATAATTTGTTGCTTCTTTGTCGACAAACTGAAAATAAAAAAAGAAAAATATCGATGTGTTTTCCTAAAATTGTTTTTAATTTCCTGATGGATCATATGCCACCGGATCATAGCGTTGGCTAGAATACACCGGCATACCATGATAAACTGATAATAGAGAAACGTAAAAAAAATGTAAGTTTAAAATTTACTTTATTTTGCACGATATTTATGTTTTCCTCTATTGTATCCAAAGAACTTTCCTCCGCCATATTTGAGAGTATGACGTAAAGGCAACATTTATTTGTCATCGATAATACTTGACACCTCCTAGAAATCTGAAACAATAAAAACAAGTATACAGAAAATACATTGTATTATTTTACCTTTCCTAAATATATAGTAAGCAAACTCTATATCATATTCTATAGTAATATTTATATTTACATTTCATATTTACTTATTCTAGTATAATATGAATAATATTGTAAAAATCACACGCAAAAAAACCCTTCCAATGACCATTTTCAAAACATTCCTACTAACTTTTTTGGCAATTTTCTTAATTTTACCTGAATAATTCCAACAAATCCAAATTCATTGTCTAAACACACAGTCGGTTAAAAAATATTTCAAAAATTGTCAATAACATATCTATATCTATATCATAAACATTTATACCGCGCTATTTCAAGCAGATTCATTACGCCGAGTGTCAAATTTAATGTAGAAACCGTAAAAGCGTTGGGTCTTGCTCTGTTTTATGCAGTTAAAAAAAAATTAATTAAAAAATGAAAAAGAAAAAGATTAATTGAATTGATTCAAAATTATAATATAAAATAATTTTAAGCAAACGGCTGTTTATCACAATTTTGTACTGTGTTTAATTGCGTCAGTAAAGAAGTCAAATAATGCTGTTATAGCGACGGAAGTAGTCTACAAACTGTTCTTGCAGGTAAAATCACCTTACTGCCTGGCTGGTCCCAGAGTTCCAAACAAAGCATTCTTTCCTCTTGAGAAAATTTATTGTTAAAGTCAGAATCTGAAAAGGGGGTAATAATAAAATGTGTTTTATTTAAGTACACATGTCTCTACTAAAGTTCAATCTAATCCTACGTATTTTACTGCCTAATGTACTTTACACTTTTACATATTATTGGAACAAAAATATTATTCACGTTTCTTAAAGATACAACGAAAATACAGAGCTCAAATCCTAAAATATATCTAATAACATATTAAATTTCTAATTTTGAAGTACTAAATAATTAGGTAAATTGAAAAGCCAATAAATTATTTAAATATACAAAAATATAACAAAAGAAATTGAAATATGCCTACGGAGAGTTTTTGTTTAATAAAAAAAAAAACATATCTTTCTGAAACAAAACGGATTGTTGTTAATTACATTAAGGATCGTACTCTGTGTATCTGGTCTATGGTAAAATAAATGGCATGATCAAATAAGTAATGAAACCAAAAAAAATATACAGATAAAAGATCTCACTTTGTGACACACAACAATCTATTTTTACATAATACCATAGTGATATCAGATTTTGATACACCGGTATACCTGCAACATCTTCGCTTCCAGTGACGTTTCATACTTCTATAATTACAGTATTAATTACAAATACAATACAGTATATTAATAACGGTAACAGCATAGTAAGGTCAAGGTAATTACATTGCACATATCTGCTCAAATTCAAAATCTACGTTTTCGTCGTTAAAACTGAAATAATATCGTAGATTTGAATACCATTCCTCCATTCCTTTGATTATAAATTCATCCCTCAATCATAGCTCTACTCTCTAATCACAAAGCAGTTACATTCCATAATACAACAGCTATATTTCCACAACTAGACCCCTCTCCTAATAAGATAAAAGAATTGATCTTTAACTCCCTAACACGATACAAGTATTGATTTCAAACTACGTCAGAACTACAATCCCATAACGTCTACTCATTCTTAAAGCTAAATGTAGATATCCACTCCCCTATAAACTACAGATTCACTCCCTTAACTAACCTTTTTGGAGCTCTCCAACATGTGGGTAGTCGAAAGAAAGTACAATAAAATATTATATGCCTAATTTTATATGTATATATAATAT